TGACCACTAATACTAGGAACTCGACGAGTCACTCAAGTGACTCAACGAGTTGGTGAGTATGCAAGGAACTCGGTGAGTTGCTGGTTGTACTCAACGAGTTGAGGTCAACATAGATTGTTGACTTTGACAGTTGACTTTAACTTTGACCAAGGATTGACTATTGGACTACTGGGGCATTTTGGGAAATTGAAAATTTACAAGCATGGTTCTATGGTGCATTAAGGTGGTGGAGTTGTACCAGCAATCCAAGAGCTTTGGTTTATCTTCGAGTCGACAATGCAAAGTGAGTTATTCTCACTATACCCAAGGGTCTAAGGCACCAAGGCCGTCCCTTTGAATTGTTATTTGGTTATGTTATGCTAGTATGATTTGTTTATTCATTATCCTAAAGGGTAGGATGATATTGTGTGATATGTGGTATGACCTGTTAGTTCGGTATCCTAGAGGGTAGGATAATATTATGAGGTATGTGGTATGATCCGTTAAATCAGTTGTTGTCTATAGACTTTTATGTGATTATCTGTTATATGTGCACATGTTTGTTTGGCGGTCGAGGCTTATCTGCTTTGTGCGAAAGCCAATAGGCCTGGGCATTCCAACATGTTGGTTGTGGGCTGTGAGTATTCCCTCCCGAGGATGACTGGACTCATAGTATGTGGGAATTCCAACTTGTTGATTGTGGTCCTAGGGTATTCCATCCCGAGGATGATTGGACGCATAGTATGTTGACATTCCAACCGGATGGTTGAGGGCATGGGGTATTCCAACCCGATGGTTGACTGGACCCATAGTATGTTGTTTATGATTATGTGTGTATTATTGTGGGTATGGGTATTTTAGGGGAACTCACTAAGCTTTCGGGCTTACAGTTTCATTTTATTGTTTCAGGTACATTAGGGGATCACGGGAAGCGAAGGCATGATCGTACAGCTCCTCATGATTTATTTATGTTTCTAGGAAAACTCTGATATTAGATATTTTGAAAACAAACTTTGTAATGATAAATGGTTTTAAATGTTTTGAAAAAGTTTTAATTTGACATGAAATTTTTGGGTGTGACAATTTGTAAAAGCACTTATCTATTTGTAAAAGATGTTTTTAGACCTATTAAATTTTAAAAAAAAAATTAATAAATCAATAAGCCATTTTCATAATTAATTCGATTTCATTAGATTTTTTTAATAACTGAAAAATTAGTTGTGCTTATTATTGTTTTTTTAACGGCAATGAATTTATTAAACCTCTAGCAAGAAGTTAGAGAACAAAGAAAAAATTTACAAAGTCATGTTTGGGATAAGAGCTAACAATCACAAGAAATAGTATCTTTCCTACGTCTATTAGAAACCAAAAAGTAAGAAAAATGCCTAATATCATCAAAATCTCATCTCTTCTAGGCTTTATTGTTCCAAAAAGTATATTATTACGAAATCTCCAAATGATCCAAAACGAGACAGGAATAACTGCTTCAAAAACCTGTGAAAACTCCTTAGTCATCTTTAGCGAATCAACCCAATGCAAGATCTCATTAACCGTGTCATGTGAAGGAGCAGGGATATTCCACCATCTAGCTATCAAGTTCCATAAACGGGTGAAAACATTGCAATTCAAGAAAAGATGACCAATAAGCTCTCCAATTTAAGAGCAAACATGACATAAAAAAAAAGACTCTAATTCAATGTCTTTATCACGTAAATTCAATCTAGTGGGAAGCTTATCTCTTTCAACTCGCCAAACATAAACATTAATCTTCTTAGGAACATACGTATTCCATCTAGTAGGAATGTTAGAAGACTCTAAGTGTGTGAATCAATAAAATTTATGGTCGAAGCAACCGGGAATTCTCCCTTAATATCCAAATCCCACGAGTACAAATCATTCGAATTGGATAAAACTACCTCCTATATTATTCACGCATCTCATCCCATTGAGCACCCATAACACCATTATGACGATATATAGGAAACGCGTCCAATATCCTCGTTTTTGAGGATCGATCAAATAAAGACGCCTTCGAATTTGTATCCAAAACAAAAAGTCTGTGAACCTTGTTCTTAAAAATACTTGATCCATGCCAATTATCTAACCAAAACCGGATACTTCTTCCATTTCCCATCTTTCTAGTACACAAATCCTCCAAAAAAATACCTTTCTTTTTAAGATGATCAATCCCCTAACAATATTCAACCATAGGTTCAAGCCTACACTTCAAGAACCTACATTACCTCCTGGGGAAGAGTGAAGAGTCGAGACCATTGTAACATCATGTTTCATGTCATTTTTGAGTCATGGACTAGAAGTCAATTGTGTAAGGTTTTGGGCCTTAAGGAGGCAAAGTTTAGTCCTTGTGGAAGGAGATAATGATAGTTAAGAGATTTTTTACCCTTGAATTGTGTTCTAGGCCGAAGGGTAGAAACGGAAAACTCATAGGACGGGTCCTTACATGAAATACAAATTTTTGATCGAGAAGTTTTTAGTCCAAGATAATTAGATGATATTGTAGAGTTCTTCTACACCTTTTTGTGGATATAAAGACTGTCGAAAACGGAGTTTGAACGAAGAAGTTACCACCGTTTGAAGTTAGGGTGATTTTTGGGTTAGCCGTGTATGTTGGGCGTACTAGGGCATCCCTAGTACAATGGGCATACTAGGAGTACTCTAGGCATACGCGATTAGTGTCCAAACCTTATTTTCGTGGTTTAAACCCTATTTAAGCTCCTTAACTTCCCCAAACCTATTCCATTCTGAGCCTCCACCTCTCCAACACCTTTTCTTGAAACCCTAACCCTAGATTGAGCTTTGTAAGCAAAAAGAAAGTGTTTTAAGTGCTTTGGAGTGTTCTTGGTGCACCTTGAAGAATAATGGACTCATTGAAGAAGTGTTGGTTGCATTGGAGCTTATAGATCCATACATTGTTCACCTTGATCTTTCTCGCAGAGGTATAAAGTTTGAATCTTGATGATGAAATTGTTAGATCTAACTAGTATTGAGTGTTATGAGCTTTTGATCAATTTAAGTGCATAAATTTTAGATCTTGAAGGTTTGTGACCTTGCTATGGATAAAGTTGGAAACTTTATCCATCTAAACATCATTTTAATTCAGATATGAAGGTTGGAGACTTAGACTTAATGGATTAAGTTGAAAAAAATGCACTTTTGGGTCACTTTGAGACTTAAAGACTAGATCTTGTTTGTTGGGACCATTCTAATGGATAAAGTTGGAAACTTTATCCATTATGGAGCTATTATGAGCCATAAAAATGTGATCTTCGCCCTTCTACCCCTTCCATACAAGAGTTGTGATGTCTTATTGGGTTAAGAACTTAGGGTTTTGTAGATTAAGCACTTTATAGTCATGCAAAGTCATAAAGTTGGAAACTTTATGACTTGGGACATCATTTTGGGCTTGGATCTGAGTTTTGGACGTAAGGATCTGCTAACTGGTTATATGATTAATTGCTACTAGATATATGTTATTTGTTATGCATATGTCGACATAGTATGGTGGGATTGAGATTGTACTGCTTTGTGATATCATTCAACAGACCGAGGCATTCCAATTGGATGGTTGTGGGCCAAGGCATTCCAACCGAAAGGTTATGGGTCGGGGGTAATCCAACAAGGAGGTTATGGACATGCTATGTATTAGGCATTCTAACCAGAAGGTTATGGGCCGGGGGTAATCCAACCAGGAGGTTGTGGACCTGTTATGTATTGGGCATTCCAGCCGTAAGTTTGTGGGTTAGGGCATTACAACTGAAAGGTTGTGTGCCAGGGGTAATCCAACCAGGAGGTTGTGGACTCGATATTTGTTTGATTATATGTTTGTGTGGTGTTACTTTTGGCGAAACTTACTAAGCTTGTGCTTATAGTTTTACTTTATGGTTTCAGGTACTTCAGATGCTTGTTTGACTGGAAGAGATGTACATTGTTTCTAGTGTAAATTGGAGATGGTGTTGGAGACAAGAGGGCTAGTGGTGGTGCGTTTGTGTCAGAAGGAAGAAGAGAGCTACTTTCACCATTATAAGGAACATGATCCCCACTGAACCCATCCCGCCCGTTTCTTTCCGTCCCACCCGTTTCTCCCCAAAGATCTGATGACACCCTAAAAATCAGGACCCAAGAATCGCAAGAGAAGAAAGAGATTACAAACGATGCTTCTTCGAAACCTACAAATCGAACATAACTTTGTTACCCTTCTTCATCTCTCTCCCCTCTTTCTCTCTCTCTTTATCTCTCTCTCTCTCTCTCTTGTAGATCAATTGATACTTTCATCTCCTTTAACAGCTTCAAGAACCTTAACCTTAGTCCTATCACACAAGCCGTTGTAGCTGGGTGAAGAAATCATCATCAGCAACAACACATATCCCTATTGCTGATCATAAATCAACGACATCAAAAGTTGAAATGGGGGTTGAATTAGTTGATGTTCCAAAAGTCAACACGAAGATGCCGATTTTGGTAAAATATTGGATCCTAGTTCTGCTAAAATTCACGGCGATTCAGTTACAACTACTGTTGTTTCTCCCGAGTATAAATAAAGATTTGAAGATTAGGGTAAGAAATCGATGAATCTAGCTTGGTGGTGGTGATGATGGTGGTGTATGTGTCGGTGGATATATTGGTGGTTCATGTATAATTTTAGGAGATAACTTTGATGATGAAGGATTACAGTGACTGCTAAATGAAAAGACAAAAATACCCGTGCACTAACAGTACAAAAGTGAAGTGGTTAGGGTCAAGGACCAATCGCGTAATGAATTGAAACCATAAGGACCAGTGGCGTGACTTTTTGCTAGGAAGTTCTCAAATTGCGATATTTTGTAAACCATAGGGATCAATTGTGAAATTTTGTCAAATAAGAATGATATGTAAACAAAATAGGCTCTTAACCTAAAACCCCCGCTAACAACGAGTAAATGGCAACGGCAGCTTTGTATCTCCGTGAACCCTAATGTACCATGGCACGAAAATGAAGCACAAAGCTTTATTCGCTGCCTCTCATGGCCGAATTGCCCAAAACCCTTTTCAGCAAACATCTCCTGAAACTTCTCAAATCCGAAAAAGACCCAATCTCAGCTCTCTCCCTCTTCGATTCAGCCATCCGTCACCCAGATTACACCCCAACCCCTTCCGTCTTTCACCACATTTTCCGCCGTATTTCACAATCTCCAAAACTCCTACCTCAACTGGCGCGAATTGTAAATTTGATTGAAGCCAAGAAATGCATCTGCTACGAAGATATCCCATTGATTGTTATCAAAGCGTATTCCAGTAACTCCATGGTTGATCAAGCATTAGACCTTTTCCAAAGAATGACAGAAATTTTTGGGTGCAAACCCGGTATAAGATCTTACAACACTCTTCTCAATGCGTTGGCTGAATCTAATCAATTCAATCGTGCGGATTTGTTTTTTAAGAACTTTAGACGGATGGGTGTTTTCCCCAACTTGGAAACTTATAACATTCTGATCAAACTTTTCTGTAAGAAAAAACAATTTGATAAAGCAAAGGAATTGCTGAATTGGATATCTGAAAGAGGGATGGTTCCGGATGTCTTCAGTTATGGTACTTTGATAAATGGGCTAGCCAAGAGTGGGGAGATGACCAGTGCCTTGAAGGTGTTCGACGAAATGTTTGAGAGAGAAGTAACTCCAGACGTGATGTGTTACAATATTTTAATTGATGGGCTTTTCAAGAAAGGCGATTTTTCTAAAGCAAACGAGGTGTGGGAGAAGTTAGTTAACTCCTCATCAGTCTATCCAAATGTAGGCACTTATAACGCCATGATTGATGGTTTTTGCAAGTGTGGACAATTTCAAGAAAGTCTGAAAATTTGGAACAGGATGAAGGAAAACAATAGACAAATGGATTTAATCACCTACAGCACAGTCATAAATGTGTTTTGTGAATCAGACAATATTGAAGGTGGCATGACAGTTTTTAAAGAAATGATTGCCAAAAATGTGTCCCGTGATGTTGCAATATACAATGCTTTGCTCAACGGATATTGTCATGCAGGAAAGATTAAAGAATGCTTTAATCTATGGGATCTCATGGAGAAAGATAATTGCAGGAATATAATCAGTTTCAATATCTTCATCAAAGGATTATTTGAAAACAAAAAGGTAACTGAGGCAATTTCTGTATGGCAACAACTATTACATGATAACCCTTCTCTTATAACCTCCACCACTTATGGCATTTTGATCCATGGATTATGCCAAAACGGGTATATAGACAAGGCTTTCACTATTCTAAAAGAAACACAAGGTAAACGTAAAAGTAACAATCTTGATGTTTACGCATTTTCTTCATTGATCAATGGGTTTTGTAATGTTGGGAGATTGAATGATGCAGTTTGTGTTTTAGATCTCATGGTTACAAATGGCTATAATCCAAACACCAATGTTTGTAACACACTACTCAAAGGCTTTATTCAAGCTCATAAAATTAAAGATGCTATCAACTTCTTTGATAAAATGGCCACAAGGGGTTGTCCACCTACTATTGTCACTTACAATACTTTAATTCATGGATTATGCAAATCAAAAAGGTTTGATGAAGCCTATCGACTTGTGAAGGAAATCTTGGAAAAGGGATTAAAGCCTGATATGATCACTAATAGCTTGTTAATGCGTGGATTATGTCAAGACATGAAGGTGGAATTAGCTCTTAAGTTATTTCACCAAGTTCTTGATAATGGTTTCAAACCCGATGTAATCATGTACAATATTATAATTCATGGGCTTTGTTCTATAGGTAATGTTGGATATGCATTGGAGTTGTATCTAAAGATGGATGACAACAAATGTGTTCCCAATCTTGTTACACTCAACACTTTAATGGAGGGTTTTTACAAAGTTAGGGATTGTATAAATGCATATGTTATATGGGGAAGGATTTTGAAGATTGGATTTCAACCTGATATTATCTCATATAATATTGTTCTTAAAGGGTTATGTTCTTGTCATAAGATGAATGATGCTATTCATTGTTTGAATGATGCTGTGGCTATGGAGATTGTTCCAAGTTTCATTACTTGGAATATACTTGTGAAGGCAGTTTTGAAGTAAGTTTTTGTATATTAAGAGGCATATGATTATATGAAACAATTGTTAAGCATCATGATGTTAAATTGTGATTTTGGTGATTCTACATATATCATCAAAACTGTAATGATGCAAAAGTTATATAGCATGATATATCAGTCTGAAGAGTTTAAGATCATACTTTGGGTTATTCACCATGCAAAAAATATATATAGAATCAAAACATTTCACTTCACTCTTTCTTATCTTGATTTTTTTCTGTATCTTTACTCTTTGTTTCTGCTAACATTTTCTGTTCATAGGTCAATTGGGTGACAAGACCTATCAAAATTAACCCTAGAATCACACCTTTTCTCCAATCAAATGATTGAGAGATGAAGGAATCGATTAAAGAGATGCTAATCAACCCGATTAATCCAAGGTAAATGTTTCTTCTCGATTCTGTTCCCACAGTTTGTGATGTCAATTCTTTGATCTTTTCTGCTTCTCCTTTTGCGATTGTTGGGTCAACGGGCTTACTTTGACCCAAATTCTTGAAGAACAATCCTTCGTTTCTTTCATTCTCGAATCGAACTTCAAATTCGTCTAACTTCTTTTGATTCTCCTCTATCTCCAGCTTGCTTGATTCCGCCGATTCTTCAAAAGCTTGCATTTGGCTCTCGATATTCCCCATTATCTGTAATTGATGAAAAAAAAAAAAACAAAGAATACCAGAGTCAAAGTCGGTGAAACTCGGCGTACGTTAGTATATGAAGTGACAAACCCTAAGACTGGCTTCTTCGAGCTCCTTGCGTGCGTTTTCGCCGACTTGATCAAACTCGGCGTTGGCTTCTTCTGCAAATTGCGTAAGATAATCGGATCGTTCATCTAAGAAATCGGTGAGACGGACTTTTTGGGCTTGAAGCATTGCGATTCTCACTAGAAGCTCCTGCTTTTTGGAATCGCCTTCGTCGGAGGTGGTATTGGGATTTTCATCGGAGTTTTTGGATTTGCGTAAGAACAGCCGTGAGTGGTGGTGGTTCTTGATGGGTGGATCTGTTCGGTAGAAGAAATCATGCTTTGTTGATGTAGTGAAGGTGGTTGTTTGTATGGATTGCAATGAAATCATGGTGTTTTTTTCCTTCTCTGTTTCTGTTTCGAAGCATTTTTGGACCTCTTTATCACCACCTTACGTACATTATCTTTATTTGGTGTTGTAGTGTCTATTTTCCAGAGCAATTGTTAGTAAATCCAGAACACCAATGATGTGGTTGGTTTGTATATTGTTGTGGATTTAACCAATGAAGTTTATGTTTAATATCTTGTTATTGTACGTAATAAATTTTTATTTATAATAAAAATTGATAACTTATTTAAGAAAAATTTACAAAAATAGCCATTTACACTAATGATATTACAAAAATAGCCAAAAAAAAAATCGAAATTACAAAAATAGCCACTAATTTCGCAGATGAGAAGGTCCCATCTGCGAAATGGGCTTCTCATCTGCGAAAGTACAAGTGTCTAAAGCACAACTGTGCTTTAAGTACTTGTACTTTCGCAGATGAGAAGGCCCATTGCGAAATGGGCTCTCATCTGCGAAATACCCTCGATTTTCACTATAAAGATGTTTTTTTTTTTTCTTCATTTTTCACCATTCTCTACACAAAAACTCTCTCTAACTTTGGGCTTATCTCGGAATTTTGGCTAGTTTTTGAAGAAAATGAAGGATTATGTCAACAATCCCGCAAATATGGTTAGATTTTAACTCTTTTAATGTCAACAATCTCTTTATTTTATCATTTGTTGTATTATTTAGTGTTAAAAAAGGATAATTTTGTTGTGTTTGATAGTTTTAATATTTTTTTAGTATACTTGAAGTTTAAATGCAAGTAGAGACAAGTAGAGACTGCGTAGATAATGTTTACAATTTGTTATTTTTGTTGTTTTTTTAGTTGTTGTATAACCTGAAATCTTGTATATTCTAATCGTATAGTTGTTTATATAAAGTGCAAAATAGTCGTTTGTATATATATTTGTCGTATATGTATAACATTTGTATAAGTTGAAAATTTGTGGTATATATATTGTTAGAAATTGTTTGTGTTTGTCGTATAAGTAAAACATTTGTATAAGTTGAAAATTTGTTTTATATATATTGTTAGAAATTGTTTGTGTTTGTTGTATAAGTAAAACATTTGTATAAGTTGAAAATTTGTTGTATATATATTGTTAGAAATTGTTTGTATTTGTCGTGTAAGTTGAAAATTTGTATAAAGTTGTCGTATAACTTGCAAAACTGTTAGTTTGTTTGTCGTTTTATTTAAAAAAAAATTTTGTTTATATGGTTATAAAATGTTAGTTTTAATTAGAAAGATAAAAATTGTTTATATATTTGTCGTTTAACTTGAAAATTTGTTTAAGTTGAATATTTGTCGTTGATATATTTGTCGTTTAAGTTGAAAATATGTTTAATAAAATGTTTATATAATTATGTATGATATTGTTTTCTATCGTTAATATATTAGTTGTATAACTTGGAAAATTGTTTATATATGTGTATGTTATTGTTTTTTATCGGAAATATATATATTAGTAATTAAGAAATTGTATTTGTAGTTTGTAATCATATATTTAAAAAAAAATATATTTTTTAGTTATCTAATTTGTTTTTGTGTTTTTTCTGCAGCATGATTTTAGTTTAATGAATACGAAAGCCTTTGCGAACTTAAAAGGTTGTGGCGGTAACATATGGGAAGTATTTGAAGTTTTAGATGATGCCCGACGTGCTATTTTCAGAGATACCGTCTTTGGTTATTTTATTGATGTCCCTCGTTTACAAGGGGACGCATTATTGTTTCATAAAATGTTCCTTCATCAGATCCAACCGGACCCTGTTTTACATCCAGATGGAATAAAACGTTTATATTTTCGAGTAGGCAATACGAAAATGGTGTATGGGCCGGAAGAGTTTTGTTTGATTACCGGCTTCAATTTTGGGGAGTATCCAAAAAACATTGGGAGAAAAGGGTCAGAAAAATTAATAAGCAGTAAAAAAAGATGTTTACTGCGTGAACGGCTATTTCCGGACCATACTAATAGTTCGGTGAAAATCGGCGACCTGAAAAGATTAATTTTAAATCGAACATTCCTAGCACTTGACGATGTTGATGCAGTTAGAGTATGTTTGATATACATTTTGTGTGAAGGTTTTTTGGGTAAAGAAGTTAACGATCGGGTGCCAGAAGATTGGTTTTATTTGGCTGAGAATTTGGATCTCTGGAATAGGTATATTTTGTTTACGTTAAAAATTCTATTTTATTAAAGTTATAATTTATATAACAATCAATTTTGTTTTTTTGTTTTGTTAGCTTCGCTTGGGGTAGCTATCTCTGGGATTTTACATATGTTGACCTTGAGGATACATGGAATAAGATACATAATAATTTATCAGTTTCTGAGGGTGGTAAAACTTTAAAGTACTCCGTCTCAGGATTTACGGCTCCAATAAGGGTATAAAAATTTTCTTATATTTAAATTGTTTTATTGTTATGTTTTTTATTTTAATTTTAACTTTTATTACTGTAATTGTTGTAAAAAATTGTAGATATGGATATATGAGATGATTCCGGCTGTTCGTGCATGTGGATTTGCATCGAGAAAAAAATAAAGACTTGCCTCGGATGAAACGATGGACCGGAACAAAAAAATTGAAATGGGTTGACGTGAACAAGATTTGGTCAAAGATGCAGGTTTAAAATTAATTCGTTTATTATTAATAAAGTTGATTATTATACTTTTATATGTATTTTTAATATGTTTAATTTTTTAGGCGGGGGTACCACCAAGACAAAACATGCTACCGGGTGATAATGAGATGACATCTTTTTATTATATGTCATTTCAAGAGTATGTATATGGTGAAGGGAAAGCAGTTCCATCCCCAGTACGGGACCATTTTAGGAGACAAGACGAATCTTCGTCTAGTATGTCGTCCAGTGGTCGCTCTCATGGTAGAGGTCGGAGCAGTGGGAAATACAAGCTAGACGAGGTGTTGAAACGGCTACATGCACTGGAGCAGCATGTGTTTATGAACCGACAACCTACAGAGGTTTTTGTTGAAGAAGTGAATAATGACCAATTTTGGAGCGATATTTTTTATTATGGTAGGACAGAGTCATAAAGAAATTATGATGAACAGGTTAGTTACACGCTACACTATTTATTAATTTTTATTAACATATATGAATATCTGTGTTCATATTTTATATTTGAAAATATAGGTTGTACAAGATGAAGTGATGAATAAAAACAATACAACTGAAAATGTTTTTGGTGATACTCAAGACGAGAAGGTTGTTATAGATGTTACCTTTACGATTATAATAATTACTTTTTAATAAAGTGTCTTTTTTTATTGAGTAAAAAGTTATATTTTTAATGTAGGTGTTGGAGGAGAGGAATGAGTATGCGGGGAACAAATTTGATGATGATGTGTTTGATGTAAATGATTATAGTGGAGTTAAAGAGGTTATTATAGTTACATTAATATAAATATTTTGTTTATTTAGATATTATTGCTTATTAAATTATGTGTATTTCGTTATTAAGTATAAAGTATTATTTTTAATGTAGGAGTGGGAGGAGAGGAATGACAATGCGGGGAACAAATTTGATGATGATGTGCCGGACGAAGACGAACTAATAATAACGGGAAATGTAGATTATTTTCATGATGATGATGATGACAAAGAAGTTACACCCGATAAACCGAGGAGTCGAAAACCATCACAATATTTGTGCCCTCCTTACACCGAGGTATTCGTTTTATTTATAAACCGATGATTTTATGTTTTTGTGAATTATATGAAAGATATAGATTTAAACATTTCAATATTGTTTTTAGTTGCACACGACACCGAAGCAAAAAAGAAGAACAAAAAAGAAGGTTGATATGAAATCAACAAGCCCCGTTCCTCCTCCAGTTTTTGGTGTTGCTCATGACTTCTCCATGTTGCGCTTGCAACCTTACGTAGCAGGCGGTGAGGATGTCATCCAAAATTATGTATTGCATTCATATGATGTCCAACATCGTTTGTTTAATTTCGTGTTAGATAGAGATTTTTGGAGCTCATTGTTTGGGCATACACACGACGGCTGGTTGGAGTCAGCGGTAAATTAATTGTTAATTAATTCTTTTAAAAGTTAATTGTTTTTTAGTCAATAACAAAAGTATCATGTGTGCAGCATATAACCATTTGGTACCGACTTTTGATGGAGAGACGGTTTGAGAGCGACCGACATACAATAATGCCTCCAAATTTTTTTGTTTCTCATGCTTTGGAAGAAGGACAGGACTGGAGGGCGTTTATGGCTGGTATTGCTACGTACCCCAACTTCATGGTTGCTTGGTGGGATGTTGATACGGTAAACTTAATAGTTTATATTGAAAATAATATCGTTTTTTTGTTATGTTTTTGTATTGTGATGTTTTTGTATTGTGATGTAAATAAACATAATTTTATTTTCTGATCCTCATACAGGTCTTATTGCCGATTCATTCATCCCCTAATCATTGGCTATTTGGGGAACTACGATTAGCGTCAATGGAAGTGCATATTTATGACAGTCTTGGTAGAGGTGCTTATGAAAAATTCCAATCTGAAGGAATCTTTTCCAAATTTGAACGTCGGGTGGCAAATTATTTGGACAAGATTAAGTATTGGGCCCGGAGGAACATCCCAAGGATTCCATTGAATATGCAATTCATTTATGAAGAAAACGTTCCCCAACAAAGTAGTCATTTGGGAGATTGCGGTGTTTTTCTTTGTATGTTTATGGAGCAATTGGTTTCAGGTCAACCAATACGTGTTCTTATTGACCCAAAGAACGCAGCTTTAGAGTTCCGTCTCCGGATGGCAAAAATTATTTGGAGGTCTTGTCTTGGTCCTATGTAGTTGGATTATATAAATGTATATAGAAATTAATGTTGGATTTCATTATTAGTTTATTTTTCCAGTTTACTCAACGGATGGCAAAAAATATAATGTTACGACAATTACAACAAATTAATGACCTACTAATTACTTAACATTACATAGAACATAAGAACGACTACAACATTTTTTTAACGTTACAAATACAAGAATTTATTGACCTAACAACTTCAAAACCATAAAAACAATATTGAAAAGCTTACAACTTGTAAACAAGAACTGCCAAGAACAACACCCAACTACAAACCAACGCTATCTTTAACTTCTTATTTTCTGATTGAAAGAGCTTATTAGAGTTAGCTACTTTAGCTATTACCATAGAAGATTGGTCCTTC